TCCAGCAGACCCAGGTAGTCCAACAGAGCCAGGTAGTCCAACAGACCCAGGTTGTCCAGAAAAGCCAGGTAGTCCAGCAGACCCAGGTAGTCCAACAGAGCCAGGTAGTCCAACAGACCCAGGTTGTCCAGAAAAGCCAGGTAGTCCAACAGAACACGAAACTAGAAAAAAAAAAAAAAAAAAAAAAAACAGGAAATCCAACAAAAAACAGGAAAAAAACAAAACAAAACAGGTAGTCCAACAGAACCAGAATTCTTGACAGAACTGGTTCAGTTTATCTAAATTTGTTGGCTTTCTGACTTGTTTCTTCACCACAGTCCGCAGGTTCAAGCATGGAGGTGGCAGCATCAAGCCAAAGAGCGTGATGCTGCCACCTCCATGCCTGATGGGAGGTTTGGTGTTCTTGGGGTTTAAGGCCTCACCGTCTCTCCTCCAGACATGTTTCTGCTCAGCGTTTGTTCCATCTTGATCTGAAGCTGCTCTGAAATGGCTCCAAGTGACTTTCTGACTTGTTCTAGTCAACGATTTGCTTTTTCAAACCTTTGCTTTCCCACTGTGGTGTCCGAGTCTCACGAGTGCATCAAGAGGTCACGACACTGAGACAGTTTGGACAACACAGCGTTCTACAGAACCAGAACTCATCACTCGAGCTGCTTCATGTGCGTTTGTGACCCAGATAGTTTCAGAGGCGCATGTGTTTCAATGATTCCGTCATTTGTAGGAGTCCCTGGAAACTCCAGACGCTCCCGACATGCGGCGTCTTTACAAGTGGATGTAAACTTTTATTATGACTGCACAGACAGACAGACAGACGGACAGACAGACGGACAGACAGACAGACAGACGGACAGACAGACGGACAGGTAGATAAACAGACAGATGCACCAGGCAGGGTTCTACATTCATCATATTCATAATTCATGTTGCTTCTCTGCCTTCTGTCCAAACACGACTTGAGTCGATCTGCAGCCAGAAGTCACAAAACATCTGAAGACGGACGGACAGACAGACAGACAGACAGACAGACAGACAGACAGACAGACAGACAGACAGACAGACAGGAGTAACTGAAGGTATTTGCAGCAGCAGTGAGGCCGGCTGCAGCCTCCTCTGGGGAGAACATCATGCGCAGGAGTCAGATATAACTCAAAGTGGCTGCGACTCTCAAATAAACGTCTGGCCGAGGCGGCGGCGGCCGGTGTTATGACAAGAATGTGCACATGACTTTTATGTGACGAGGCGAAAAAAAAACCCCAGAGCGTCTGCCGGGATGCGGGCCGTGAATCAGCCGCCACACCGCCGGGTATCCTCAGACGTCCTCCGAGGAATGTTCCGCCGCACATGTGTCTCCTGAAGATCTGCTCAACGCCAAATCCTGCTGAAGGGTGAATCCTCTGTTCGTCTTTCAGGGGCAACCAGAGACTTTACCAGAAGAACCTGAAGCTGAGCGCTGCCGACATGTATCGCTGGAAGCTGTCGTCCCAGGAGCCCTGCAGCATGACCTGCTCTATAGGTGCCCGAGTACACAGGCTGTAAAACACAGACTTTTCCTGTTTTGTTTCATTACACACATGAAAATATTAAAAATGAGGCCAAACCTGCAGATATGTTGTGCAAAATTTAGTATTTATTAGAACACTTCATTTATTTACTTTTTAAAAATGACATTATTTTCATTCACTGTTTGTTTCTATTGTGATTCAGTTGCTTTAAAATTTGTTCATTTGCATCTATTTGCAATTTTAAAAAAAGCAAAAGAAAAAAAAATACAGATATTTCTCATTATTTGAAATAAAGCACACAAATAGTTGGTGGAATTAAGTCAACTTTTTATTTTTATTTCATTGTCATTTTAAAGATTTTCTGTTTTGTCAAAAAACAAACAAACCACAAAACAAACAGACAAAATTAAATTAATAATTAAGTTAAATTAATACACATCATGACAATTTTAAAAAAGGGCAAAACTGTAATGTTAGCATCAAAAATCTGTGTAATTATAGAAACATTTTTCTTTTACTTGCAAGAACAAAACCTTAAAAAAATCTGTAAAAAAAATAAAATAAAATAAAAAAAAAAATCACAATTTTGACTGTTTAAAGAAGGAAAAAGTTTCCTCTAAAAAGTTTGTTGTTATTTTTAAAGAAAAAATTTGTATTAAAAATTAAAAAATGGAAAAATATTAAAACTATTTTTTTAAAAACTTATTTTCTCTGTTTTGTTTGTGAACTAATAATAATAATAATTAAATAAACTAAAAAATTCAACAACCTGCACAACAAACTGCCAAAGCTGTAAATAATTATCTGTATTAGATTAAATGATCAGATTAAACTTTCTTTACATTCAGTCAAAGCTGCTCTTTACTATAAACAGCCGTCAGATAAACACAAGAACACTTTCTTGTTCCGTTTATAAAACCTGCTGCGTGGATCATTTCCACTTCCTCACCTTTCAGGAGTGTCCAGGTCCTTCGTCTCCTGCGTTCGGTACGACGGCGTCGAGGTCCACGACATGTACTGCGACGCTCTGACCCGACCGGAACCGGTCCACGACTTCTGCATCGGCAGGGAATGTCAGCCGAGGTACAGCACACTGGAACGAACGGGAACGCTTTAATGGATCAGTTAGTTCTGCTTTAATGTGGTTTTTAGCAGATAATGTGTTTTTCAAACCCGCCGCTGAGTTCTGGGTCCAGGTCTCTGCGTGTTTCTGAGCGTCGAGGTGTTTCAGGTGGGAGGCGAGCAGCTGGAGCGAGTGCTCTCGGACCTGCGGCGAAGGCTTCCAGTTCCGACAGGTGCGCTGCTGGAAGATGCTGTCTCCGGGCCTGGACAGCTCCGTGTACAGCGACCTCTGCACCATGGCCGACCTGGAGAGGCCCGTGGAGAGACGGGCCTGCAAGAGTCCAGCCTGCGGGCCCCAGTGGGAGGTGGCCGAGTGGACCGAGGTACCAGCACGCTGACTTCAGTGTTGTTGTCATGATGTGAGGTCGGCTGACTTTCTACTGTGAAGACAGATCAGACGTCTTTAAAGTTCTGCACCTGTGTGGAAGCAGAACAACCTGAAGAGCTCAGACACGTCTTCTGTCACTGTGACCCAGTTTAAGTCGTGTCAGTTGTTTTGTGTTTTTGGTCGTTCAGCTTCTCAGCGGTTTGGTGTTCTGCTCCATCAGGTGTTAAAGTGACTCTGAGTCCATCCAGGTCAGAACCTGAACACCAGACCAGGTGGTGGTGTGGGTTCACATCCCATCCTCGTCGGGTTTTAAAAGCTTCATGATGTTCATGATAAAATGTGTGTCTAACATTGAGGTAAAAGAAAATGATTGTCCAAGTAAAAAGAACCATAAAAGCTCTACAAGCTGGAGAACGTCTGATGGAAGAACTGGATCCATGAAGCAAATCAGAAGCTAACAGTAACCAGCCTCCTTCTTCTTCTTTAAATGTTCTACAGAGTTCTTGATGTTTTCTCATCTCAGTGTGTCGTCAAACATGACGGCCTGTTCCTTTCAGACATGAGGGGAATTAGCTCAGATGGTAGCGCGCTAGCTTAGCATGTGAGAGGTAGCGGGATCGATGCTGCATTCTCCACAACATCTTTCTTCTCTCATTTCTATCAGCAGTCCTTTTATGATCCCAGCTGTGTCCAGTTTGTCGTTTTGTGTCCTGTAGGTCTGTGGAAACAGAACAACGTTAGCTAGACGCCGTTTCTTTAAATGTTCCTACAGAGTTCTTAACACAAAACAAAGTCCTGCTGAACGTGTCTCCAACAACTGGCTCCTCTGGTCACTGTTTCTGGGCCATGCTGCGTTTATAGGAGGTGCTCAGTTCAGTTCCAGCTGGAGGACTGCTGATTGAGATGAGAGAAGAAAGATGTTGTGGAGAATGTGGCATCGATCCCGCTACCTCTCACATGCTAAGCTAATGCTCTACCATTTGAGCTAATTCCCCTCATGTCTGAAAGGAACAGGCCGTCATGTTTGACGACACACTGAGATGAGAAAACATCAAGAATTCTGTAGAACATTTAAAGAAGAACAAGGAGGCTGGTTACTGGTAGCTTTTTTTAACATTACATATACATTTTTAAAATCAGGCAACTCAACGAGGATGGGATTAGAACCCAGACCTGGATGGACTCAGAGCCACTTTAACACCTGATGGAGCAGAAAAAGCTGAAACCAAAGCGATATGAAGTCCTGCTGGATGGATCTCCACCAACTCTGTGGTTCTGATCCGTGCTGCGTTCATTTATTGATCCAGCAGGTTGGGTTTTCCTCTCAGTCTCCATCAACAAAGTGATTAAATATCACAGTGCTGAACTTAGAGCTGATCAGTTTTCCATCAGAACCACATGATCAGTTCAAATCCCATCAGAACGTTAAAGAATCTGAGGATGGGTTCTGTCGTTGTAGCTTCTGGTTCTGACTAATGGTGTCGTTCTGATGGCTTTTTAACTCAACAACATGCTCTTTAAACCCACTGCTGGGTTTCGGGGTTTGAGGTTCTTGCAGACGTTGAAGCAAACATCCTCCGTGGTTCTGGTTCCTTCTTGACGTCTCCGTCAGACTCCAGGTTTAACTTCACTCATTTGTCACCAAAAGCTAAGTTCTGTGAAACATTTCCACTGAATTTGGAGACTTTCGTGTTTTCTAATCTGGAGTTTTGGCTTTTAAAAAACACCCAGGAAGCCATTTTAAAGGTTTGCTATCTTTAGAAGTTGAACTCCCACAGCCGTGACGTCTGGTGACGACGCAGACAGAACAGGTTCCAGCAGGTCCAAACGAATAAACGGCTCCAGGAGGGGGCGGTTTTTAAATCATTGGCCTCCAAAATGGTAAAAAACGTTCAAACGATGGTGGTGTTGTGTCCCCAGAAGGTTCCTGTAGGTGTCTACCAATGGATGGATCCATGTTTCTACTAGAATCCAGTCTTTGGTCGACATTTCACCAACTGTTGAGGCTCTAACGTCAATATTTGATGCATGACAAGACAAGGTCCCGTTTTTTTCTGTTTTGATGAACGACTTTGCTAATATCGCTCAACTTGAACACTTTGGACAGGACTTATGTCCTTTTTAGGCGTTTGTGAGTCAGTTAGAAGTTATTTGGGACATTTTTTTTCTCCATAATCTTTAATTATTTGCAATTCAAAATGCAAAAAAGTGAAATATTTTTAAACGACGGTGGTGTCGTGTCCCCAGAAAGTTCCCTTATGTGTATATATGTGGATGTTTCCATTATTTCCTCCTGAAAATCTACTCTTTGGTCGACATTTCACCAACTGTTGGAAGGTTCTCGAGTTATTTTGGATCATTTTTGAGGAGTTTTGGGCAAATTTTGTGTAATTTTGAACAGGTTTTGAGTTCATCTTCTTTCATTTTTGGACCATTTGTGAGCCACTCTGGACTGATCTCATGTTCAATTATTGGGCCTTTGAAATGGAATCCTGGAGTCATTCAGCTGTTCAGATCTGCTGGAAACTGTTCTGTGTGTGTCGTCACCACATGTCAGGTCTGTGGGCGTTTTAATTCTGGAGGTACTGACCCGTTAAAACGGCTTCACAGTTTTAAAAAAAGATGTAAAAACTGTCCCGTCTGGAAACAGGAAAGTCTCAATGTTCAACCGTGCAGAACTTAGTTTTGGTGCCAAACACCAAACACATCCATCAGCAGCACAAATGGGCTCAGCTGGAGCATCGTAGTGAGCTTCTGGTACCAACCCTGCAGAACCTCGGCGCTGGTTTCAGAGTGTCGGTGACGTCGTGTGATTGTGTGTCCGCAGTGTCCCGCCAAGTGTGGCCGGAAAGCTCAGGTGAGCCGAGACGTTCGCTGCTCCGACGAGACCCGGCCGTGCGACCCGATGACCAGACCGCCCAACGTCAAGAACTGCACCGGACCGCCCTGCGAACGCCACTGGACCGTGTCCGAGTGGGGCCCCGTGAGTGGATTCAGTCCTCCGAGATACCAGCTTGTGTCACTGTAGACTCATTCTGGGTTCTTTTGGAAATTCTTAAATAATTTGGGTTAATTTTTTAATAGTTTGTGTTAACTTATGAATAATTAGGACAATTTTTTTTAAAAAAAGGGTCAGTTTTTGAGTTACTCAGGACAGTTTTAATAGATTTGGACAATTTGTGAGTAATATTGAACATTGTTTTGTATAGTTTAGGACAATATTTGAGAAATTTAGGTCAATTTATGAGTAAATTAGAACAATTCTTGAATTTTTGTGTCAGTTTGTGAGAGATTCGGTCAATTAAAAAAAAAAAATTAGGACAAATTTTGCTACATTTGGGTTAATTTGTCAGTAATTTGGTCAATTTCTGAGTAATTTAAGTCAGTTTTAATTTAATTTAGGACAATTTTTGAGTAATTTTAAACAATTTATTTCATCATTTGTATGCGGTTTCAATCATTTGAGTCAATTTTTGAATTACTCAGGACAGTTTTTAATGTATTTGGACACTTTTTAAGTAATTCGGGTCCTTTTGGGAGAAATTTGGTCAAATCTGAGTGATGTCCAATAATTTGTAGGTACTTTGGGTCATTTTGGGAGTAAATTGGTTTATGTTTGAGTGATTTGGGCACATTTTTGACTAATTTGGCTCAATTTGTGAATAATTTTGAACATTTTTTGTCAAATTTAAGTTAATTTTTTAAATAATTTGCGTCAGTTTGTGAGTAATTTGAGTCAATTCTAATTAAATTTAACAACTGTTGAGTAATTTTGAAAATTTTTGTCATTTGCATCCGTATTTTTAAATAATTTAAATAATTTTTTGAGTTATTCAGGACAGTTTTTAATATATGTGGGCAATTTTTTTTTAGTAATTTTGGTCAGTTTGTGAGAAATACAGTCAATTTTGAGCAATTTAGGATAAATTTTAAATAATTTTGCTCAACTTTTAAGGAATTTGGAATATTTTTTGTATATGTTAAGACAATATTTGAGTTATTTGGTCGATTTTTGAGAAGTCTTGAATCAATTTTGAATAATTTAGACCAATTTCTGAGAAATTTGGTTCAGTTTATGAGTAAATCAGCAATTCTTGAATATTTAGGCGACTTTTTGATTAATTTGGGTCAATGTTTAAGTAACTTAGGACACATTTTGAATTACTGACCCTTAAAAGTCGGGTTTCTTTGCTCCTCTGCCGTGTAAAGATGGTGACGGAGACCCATTGATAGGAGACAACATCGATGTGCAGAAGGTTCTACGTTTCTGTAATTTATCTCCTGATCCTGCAGAAAAGGAATCTTCTGATTTGTGTCTGAGTGGCTCCCTTGAAGCTCTCTCCACGTTGCTCACATGGTTTCTCCGCTCGCCGGTCGTCCGTCGCAGATGTTTCTACTCCAGCAAAAATGCAACAGCGTGAATTTACGGTTTCCACCGAGTCGAACGGACACGTTTAGTCGCTGATGTTGAAATCTGGAAACGCGCAGCTCTGATTTACAGCCGCAGCGTCCGACTTGGAAAAACACGGACGAGTGAATAAAAAGTGCAGCTCTGAGCGTTAAATCAGTCACACTGATGCTCATTTAGAGGATCAGCGACATGTAGAGCTTAATGTGTGTTCTGCTCAGAGCTTATTATGAGCAGATGGAGGAGACGCTGGTGGGATGTCATGAGACACTCCGTCCATCCATCCATCCATCCGTCTGTCTGTCGTTTAAATGTAGATACGTTTAAATAAAAGAGTAGAAACAGGAAATAAAAACACCTGATGGTATCTGTTAACATCCGGGGAGATGATTTTGGTTTTATTTGTGCAGTTCAGTTTATTTTACATAAACCAGCGACATTTTTATTTTATTTATTTTTTTATTGCTTATTGCAATTTAAAAAAAATCAATTTATTTTTATTGTTGCACATCTTTGTGTGGAGCAGTGAGAGTGCCAAATTACAAAAATAAATTATTAAAAGAATAATAAAATAAAAGAGGAAATAAAAAAAATGAAGATCTAAAGATTTAATTAAAGATTAAATAGAATTTAAAAAATAAATAATGTGGCAACATTAATCAAAAATTAATCCATAAAAGAAAAGGCTGATAAAAATAGAAATACAAATAAATAAAATAATAAAAAACAATAATTTTTTAAAATGTTTAAATTTATTTTTAGTAATTAGTTTATTTTCTAAAATTTTTTTAAAATTCCTTTTTAAATTTTTTAATTATTACTATTATATTTCTCTTGTGTTTTGTTATGTTATGTTGACACCTCCATGAGGTTCTGTGGTTCTGTGGTTCTGTGGTTCTGAGGTTCTGTGGTTCTGTTCCAGTGCTCGGGCTCCTGCGGTCAGGGCAAGATGGTGCGTCACGTCTACTGCAAAGCTCCGGAGGGCCGAGTGGTTCCAGAGAACCAGTGTTCTGCCGAGAACAAGCCTCTGTCCGTGCACCCGTGTGGGGAGAGGGACTGTCCTCCTCACTGGCTGAGCCAAGACTGGGACCGGGTGAGCCAATCAGGGACCACGAAAACAAAAACACCTCAGATGGGGTCCTCGTTAAAGAGCCGAGTGTTGATCGAGTCGATCAGATCTGCAGGTTTCTGGGTTAAAGGAAGCAGCTGGTGAAGTTCTGACAGAACGTCGGGTCTCAGCGGAACCACACCGCTGTGGTAGAACGACACACACCAGTGAGACCATGAAAGTCCAACATCTAGCCGCCATGAAAGTAAATTAGAACAGTTCTTGAATGTTTGGGCGACTTTTTGAGTAATTTGAGTCGATTTTATTTTAATTTAGGGCAATTTTTAGTAATTTTGAATATTTTTGGTCATTTGTGTTCGTTTTATAATAATTTGAGTCGATTCTTGAGTTACTCATGACCGTTTTTAATATAATCTGACAATTTTTGAGTAATTTAGGACACATTTGGAGTACTTTGGCTCAATTTTTAAGTAATTTGGGTCAATTTTAAGTAATTTCAGACAATTTTTGAGTAATTTGGGTCAATTTTGAGTAATTTAGGACAATTTATAAGAAATCTGGGTACATTTTTTGAGTAATTTGGCTCAATTTGTGAGTAATTTTGAACATTTTTTGTAAAATTTTGAACAATTTTTGAGTAATTTGGTCAATTTTTAAGAAATTTGGGTCCATTTTTGAGTAATTCTGCTCCATTTGGGAGTAATTTGGTCAAATTCTGAGTTATTTCTGACAGTTTTAAAGTAATTTGGGCAAATGTGAGAGCCATTTGGTCAATTTTTGAGCAGTCTTGAGTCAATTTTGAATAATTTAGGACAATTTATGAGAAATCTGGGTCAATTTTTCCAACAATTTTAAAGCAATGTGGGTCAGTTTGGGAGTCATTTGGTCGACTTTGGACAGATCCACTTTTTATTTTATATTTTCTATTTTCTATTATATTCCTCTGTGCTCGGTACCAGTGGGAGCTTTAAGAGCTGCAGAGTTTGGATCCAGATGGAGACACTTTATGAGACACATACGTACATATGAGGCGCTGAGCAGGTCTGATGGTGGAACCAGTCCAACGTCGGTCCCAACTGGAGGAGTCCCACAACGGTGTTACTGGGATGAAAGAAAAACCAGCTGGTACCAGTTCATTTAACCAGTCAGCTCAGTCAGCAGTCAGTTCTTTAAGAGAAGTAATGAGTCCCATGAAGATGTTCAGACGTGGAGCCTTCAGTGACCCACAGTTTGAACATGGTTGGTTGTATTAGTGTCGGGTTCTGGAAGTTTTCTGTCTTGTTTTTCTCATTTTTGTCTCTTTTCTGTCGGTTTGCTTCTCGTTTTTTCTTGTTGTGCTTGTTTAATGTCTTAGTTTTTGTCTCTTTGTGTCTCATTTTTGTTATTTTGTGTCTATTTTTTGTCGTTTTGTGTCTTTCTAGGACAGTTTTGTCTCGTTGAGGTTATTTTCTGTTTTGTTTTCTTTGTTTTTCTTCTCGTTTTACTCGTTTTCAGTCTCTTAGGGACAGTTTTGTCTCTTTGTGTCTCATTTCTGTTGTTTTTTAGTCTAGTTTCTTTAATTTTGTGTCTCTTTTGTGTCTTTTCATCTAGTTTTTATTTTGTGTCTCGTTTTAGCTGTTTTCTGTCTCATTTTTGTGATTTTCTGTCTCTTTTCTGTCTTTTTGCGTTTTGTTTTTGTCATTTTGTGTCACTACACAACAATTCTGTTTCCTTCTTTTCTTTCTCACTTTGGTTCCAGTTTTTCTCTTGACATTTTACAGTCATTTTTGTCTCTTTTCTGTCATTTTGCATCTCGTTTTTCTTGTTTTGCTTCTTGTTTTGCTCGTTTTATGTCTCTTTGGGAACATTTTGTCTCTTTGTGTTCTCATTTCTGTGGTTTTTTGTCGTTTGGTGTCTTGTTCTTGTTGTTTTTTTGGCTTGTTTTTGACATTTTGTGTGTTTCTTGGACAGTTTTGTGTCTTTGTGGTTATTTTCTATCTTGTTTTAGTCATTTTTTTGTCTCTTTTCTTTTGTTTTGCATCTCGTTTTTCTTGTTTTGCTTCTCGTTTTGCTCGTTTTGTGTGTCTTAGGGACAGTTTTGTCTCTTTGTGGTCTCATTTCTGTAGTTTTTTGTCTGGTTTTTTGTCGTTTCGTGTCGTCTTCTTGTAGTTTTCTGTCTCGTTTTAGCCATTTTGTGTGTCTTGTTTTTATCGTTTCGTCTCATTTTTGCAGCTTTCTCTCTGCTTTTTGTAATTGTTGGTCTTTCCAGGACAGCTTTGTCTCTTCTCAGTTCAGCAGAAGACCTGAATTTGTTGGTGTGAGTGCAGATTTAACGGACGTTTCTTGCTGCAGTGCAACACGACCTGCGGCCGCGGCGTGAAGCGCCGGATCGTCCTCTGCGTCGGCATCACCGGAGGAAAGTTCCAGATCTTCGACGACGAGGCCTGCGGCGGCGGCGAGAAGCCCGAAGAGGAGAACACCTGCTTCGAGAGGCCCTGCTTCAAGTGGTACACGACGCCCTGGTCCGAGGTGACGGCGCCTCACACAGCCGGATCATAAATCGCTTCATGGGCAGCAAACGTTTATCTGACATGAAAAGCTCCCACCGCTGATCCATCAAACTTCTGAGTGTCGAGCAGACAAACAGCAGTCAGACGTCCTGGGTGTTGTGTAACTGTTGTGTGTTTGTCCTCAGTGCACGAAGACGTGCGGCGTCGGCGTCCGGATGAGGGACGTCAAGTGCTACCAGGGCAGAGAGCTGGTCCGAGGCTGCGACCCGCTCACCAAGCCGGTGTCCAAGCAGACCTGCACCCTGCAGCCCTGCCCCACCGAACCCCCGGGTAACACACACACACACACACACACACACACACAAGGCCAATAGGAAACACACACACTCTTTACTGGAGGTTTTCCATCATTTCTGAGCCTCAGAACTTCATCAGTGCATCAGAAAGACACACAAAGAACACATCTGAGTTCTGGTAGAACCTGACACCAGATCAGTTCTACCTCCATCCAGGAGTCACCGTCTGAACTCTGGATCTGGTTTTGTCTTCGAGTAGTTTTACCACAAAAATAGACAATATTAACTCAAAAGACTTGAAATCATCAAAACAGACATGAAATCTCCACATAAAGATGCAGAATGACCACAAATGGAGGCGAAATGTCACAAAAAACGGACGATCACCACAAAAAGATTCAAAATGATCATAAAAACGATTCAAAAATCACCACGAGAAGGGCTGATATGACCACAGAGAAACACAAAATCCCCATAAAGAGATGCAAAATCACCAAAATATACATTAAATTACCACAAAATGATGCAAGATGACCATAAAAAGTTTCAAAATTATCACAAAATGGTTCAATTTACCACAAAGAAACACAAAGTCGCCACTAAAAGGACCAAAATCACCAAAAAAAGATTCAAAATCATCATAAAAAGCTGAAAAAACATCATAAAAAGGTTTGAATGAGCAGAAACAAGCAGAAAATCACCATGAAAGGCTCACAAAGGGCTGAAGTCGACCCAGAACATTCATGTCACATCCGTCCAGGAGTCTCAGTCTGAACTCTGGACCTGGTTCATGTTCACTGATCAGGCGCCAGTATTATGGGATGGATGGACACAGACAGAATCCTGTCTCCTGGTGTGTCCTGGTATCAGCCCTGTGTGGAGGTCTGGAATCTTCTCATGATCATTTGCAATCTTTTTGTGGTGATCGAGCGTCTTGTGTGTAACTTTCATCTTTATGTGGTGATTTTAAACCTTTTTCTGTTGATTTTTTTTAGCTTTTTGTGATGATTTTGAATCTTTTTTTTGGTGATTTTGGTCCTTTTAGTGGCGACTTTGAGTTTCTTTGTGGTAAAATTGAACCATTTTGTGGTGATTTAATGTATGTTTTGCTGATTTTTCATCTTTTTATGGGGATTTTGTGTTTCTTTGTGGTCATATCAGCCCTTCTTGTGATGATTTTTGAATCTTTTTATGATTATTTAGCATCTTTATGTGGAGATAGTCTTTTTTTGATGATTTGACATTTTATGTGGTAATTTTGAGGTAATTTTAACCATTTTGTGGTGATTTTGAAATTTTTTCTGGTAATTTAATGTGTATTTGGATGATTTTTGGACCTTTTTAGTGCCAATTTTAATTCTTTTGAGGTAATTTTGTCCATTTTTGTGGTAAAACTACGCGAAACAAAACCAGATCCAGTCTTCAGACCTGGATGGATGTGAAGCTGATCTGGTGTCAGGTTCTACCAGAACATGTCGTGTGTCTATGTGCCGGACTGATGAAGTTCTGGGGCTCAGAAATGATGGAAAAAGTCCATTTAAGTGATGAATGTGGACCTTTGTGGGCCTGAAACAGTATGAAGGTAAAATAGATGCAGAACCAGCTGGTTCTGAGGAGTTCTGGGGAGCTTTGATCAGATGTGGTTGCTTCGATCTGGTATCAGTGAGGAGCCTGGTTGGTATGAAGTAGTTGTGGGCTCAGACTGACTGGTTCTGGTTCTGGTTGGCCCAGATGAGAGCTGCCAGGACCGGCCCTCCACCAACTGCCTGCTGGCGCTGAAGGTGAACCTGTGCAGCCACTGGTACTACAGCAAGGCCTGCTGCCACTCCTGCAGAGCCGTCCGGCCTCCAGCCTCCTAGTCCAGGACGCCGCCCCGCTGCACCCGCTCCGGCCCGGAGACGCCTGGAAACACCTGGAGACAGCTGCTGGGAAGAACCAGACCAAGAGCCGAGCCCGCTTTAGGATCAGAACCTCGTCGTCAGTCAGTTTAACCCTCTGGACCCTGAATGAGTTTTTCTCTCCCGTGTTTCTGGGCCGTGGTTCTTCTGTGGAACCAGAAGAACCCGGACGTCTTCTGTCACAGTCAGAACGCTGGAAACATGGAAAAGATCCGGAGACAGACGGCGACGCCACGTCCTGGAGATGATTCCATTTCCAGAACCATTTCCAGAACCATTTCCAGAACCATTTCCAGAACCTCTGCAGCACGATTTGTTTTCAGTTTCATTCACGTCTGTTTGCTGTCGTTTGTCTTTCTTGAGTCTTTTCACGTCTCAGATTTCTTGTTTTGCGTCTCGTCTTGGTCACTTTACGTCACTTTTTCTTTGTTTTCTTTATTTTCTGTCTTGTTTCTTTTTTTTTTGTAACTTGTTTCCTTTTGTTGTTTTTTATGTTTTTTTTTCCAACTCTTTTCTATGTCTTGTTTTTTCAACTTTCTTTCTTTTTTCATTTTCTTTTCGTTTTTCTGTTTTGTCCTTTTTTGTTATTTGCATCTTTGGGGCAGTTTTGTCTTTTTCTGGTCATGTTATTTCTCATTTTTGCTGTTTTCTGTCTCGTTTTTTGTTGTTTCGTGTCCAGTTCTTGTTTTTCTTTCTGGCTCTTCCTACTGTAGACGTTTTATTACATTTTCACAGCGATTACAAACCGGTCAAGACAGTTTTTCTTGTTTTGTTTTTTCACTTTCTGATGATTTGTGTCTCATTTCTATGTTTTTTTTTCTTTTCATTTTTGAAGTTTTGCATCTTGTCTTTTGTGGCTTTCGTTCTGGTTTCAGGGTCCAGAGGGTTAAATGAGGTCAAATGATGCTTCAGTGTTCAACACAAACACACAAAACACTTTGGTCATTCCTTGTTTTCCAAACTTTAATGAGTTCATCGGGGATAAATTGGACAAATGTCGTTTTTTTATTGTTTTGATTGTAAGTTTCCACCATTTAAAGACCATTTGTAGCATAACAGACTCTAAAATAGTCGAATTTTTTTGGCTTTTAACGTCCGAAATAATTCAAGTTATTCAAAAAGAACTTTCTGACATAAATATATTGTCGTTATATCGGCTCTGATTGATCGTTTTTTGGTGGAGTTCTGGTCGAATGTCGTCCTCGAGCGTCGTCGTCTGGAGTCGGAGACCGAGTGGAGCCCCGGTCAGCAGGAACAGATCCATTAAGTTATTTCCAAACTGAATATAACTGCATGACTAGAATATTTAATACAGATACCGTTTATGGAACATTATTTAATGTTGGCGTCCGGCGCGGCCCGACAGGAAGCAGAAGCTCCGAGTCGGCCTCCGCCCGGCGCCGCGCCGACGCCCCGCAGGATATTTATTAGTCGTAGCACATTTTCCATTTAGCGCGACGCTCCTGATGCCGCCGCCGCCACCGCCGGCTCCTCATCAGGCCGACTGATGCCAGAAAGATTCCTGACACTTGAAGTATGGTTGAAATGTATTCGTCTCATGTGTAACTCTGGTGTACTGTGTTTTTATATCACCGATACCTCTTTGTACAAAACTAAAGTATGGAGATTGTGTACTGTCGATTCATAAACTGAAACCTGAAGGTACTGACTTGTATTTCAATTAAATAACGATCAAACGGACGAGAACGCGTCTGTCGTCTTTTGTCGCATGAGCATGTTCAAGATTACCCTCAGAAGTTGTTGAGTTTCAACACAAAGACAACATGGAAAAAGATTTAACGCATAATAACATCATGTAGAACCTGTGAACATGTCTCCTACCAACGAGTCCACGTCAACATCCAGTCAACATACCAAAAAACTGGAGCCTTGTCCTTCCACACATCAGGTTCTACTGATGTTAGAGCCTCAACAGTTGATGAAATGTCGACCAGAGACTGGATTCTAGTAGAAATATGGATCCATCCATAGATAGACACTGACAAGAACTTTCTGGGGACACAACACCAGTCTCACCGAGAAAAGTTGCATCTTTTTCATACTTAAGGGCCAAATAATATTAATTTTTGTCATTTTAGACACATTTTGAGTCACTTTGAACACATTTTTGTCTTATTTTGAAGAAACCTTTCCTGCATTTTAATCTTTTTGCGTCATTTTGGACAAGTTTCATGCCAAAGTATCTAAAAACTGGACCCTTGTCTTTCCACACATCAGGTTCTACTGATGTTAGAGCCTCAACAGTTGATGAAATGTCGACCAAAGACTGGATTTTAGTAGAAATATGGATCCATCCATGCATATGTATATTTATATTTACAGAAACTTTCTTTGGATTAAACATCACCCTTGTTGGAAAACTTTTCATTTTTGTCCATTTTTAAAGGTTAACAAATATTATAATATTATTTTTTGTCATTTTCAACCATTTTGGGCCATTTTGAACAAAGCTCCAGTAAATCTAGATGATTTTGAGTCATTTGAGACATGTCTCAAGTAGTTTAAGACTAAGATTTTGTACTTTTGGGAAAATTGTGAGCAATCTTGGACACACTTAATGCTAAAATAGCTAAAAAAAACTGGAACCTTGTCTTGTCATACATCAGATTCTACTGATGTTAGAGCCTCAGCAGTTGGTGAAATGTGACCAAAGACTGTGTTTTAGTAGAAATATGGATCCATCCATAGATATAGACACTAACAGGAACTTTCTGGGGACACTATAGCACCCTTAGCCGAAAATGTTTAACTTTTCCCCCCATTTTTAAGGACCAGTAACAAAAGATTTGGCCCAAATTACTCAAAAAGTGTAAAAACTCTGAATTAGTCCAAATTGACCCAAAAATGCCCCAAAAAATGTCCAAAACAACTTAAGCGCTGGTCAAATATCGATCAAAGACTGTATTTTAGTAGAAACATGGATCCATCCATAGATATAAACTTACAGGAACTTTGTGGGGCAACAACACCACCATTGTTGGAAACACTTGCACCTTTTTCCATTTTTAAGGACATATAATTATTGATTATTGACATTTTGGACACTTTTGAGTCCCTTTGGACAGCCTAAATCTAATTTTGGACACAGGTTTATATATTTTGGTTGAATTTTTAAGGTGTTTTGGAAAATTTTAAGTCATTTTTAACAGGTTTCAAGTCAAAACATCGAAAAACTAGAACACACATCAGATTCTACTGATGTTAGAGCCTCAACAGTTGATGAAACGTCGACCAAAGATTGTGTTTTAGTAGAAATATGGATCCATCCATAGATATAGAGACCCACTGGAAGTTTCTGGGGACACAACACCATGTTTGCAATGTTTCCAATGTTTGTTTGTTTTTTTTTTTCCATTTTCAAGGACCAATAAGTACAGATTTGTCTTCTGCTGGAGTCTTTCAATCATTCTGATCTGCTGGAAACTATCCTGTCTCGGTCCTCTCCACATTTCATGGCTGCTGGAATTAATTTTCTGGAGATATTGAATAATTAAAATGGCTTCACAGGTAAGATGATTTGTTAAGGGTGAAAACACAACAATTCTCAGGTCTGAAAACATCTGAAACTCTAAAAAAAATCAGCCCAAAATACTTTACAGATCTTAGCTTTGGGTCCCAAATACCAATTAAACTGAACTAAACGATGCCTGAAATGACAACGAATGATCAGGTTTTAATCTGAAAGAACAGCGCGGCAGATGGAGCCTTTATAGCTTGTAGTAGACAGAGTTCAGGGGTTCTAGAGTGTTCTGGTAGAGATGAGTTCACCTCATAACCCTGTGAAGCTACTGGGTTGTTGAGGGTTGTGAGAGGAGAAGACAGAAGGCGCTGAACTAGTGACAGTAAAGACATGAGAGATTTGCACAGCAGCCGACCAACTCTCCTCTTTGTCCACATTAAAACACCTGCACTTGGACGTTTGGCCTCTTGAAATCACTTTTGAAGCACTTACGTTACTTTTAATTTTGAGAATTTGCAGCTGTGTACGTCTTTACGCTGACTTCAGGGAATCAAACCACAGCTTTACTGAGATAATTGCTCCTGTTTTGGGGCGTTTGGGGAAATAATTGTAGTTTTTTCTTGATGTTGGAACCATTGAGGCTCTCTTTGATCCAAACAAGTCAAACCAAACAGTTTTGCATCAGTCTATTAACACTGTACATGAGCTTCAGACCTGCTGAGCTTCGACGCCCCCTGCTGGTCAACGTCTGACCTGCTGCAGTCTGCATAGAAACACATCAACTCATGAACAGTTCAAAATAAACACCACATGATGTAAGGAAAGCCTCTGCATCGATTCAGCTGCACAACCTGCAGCTTCGTCCACCAGGAACAGATGGTTTCTCTGCGGGACGTTCTCTGTCCTGAGCTCAGACTGCCAGGATGTCGTTCCTCTGTCACTTCAAACCACAGAAACTTCACTGGAGAGTTGTTTGACATCCAAAGTCTGTGTACAGCTGACTTTAGGGTTAATGGAAATGAAAGGGGCTCATGCAACCTGAGTAAAGGTGATTTTCCAGCTCAAGCGTATAAGAAACTGAACATTTCCACTGACCGGCTCCTGCTTTAGCTCCTGAGCTGAGGGTCGATAAAGGTGAGATTTATTTTCTTGATGTCATCTCAATGTTCAGGTTGTGGCCTGAGAAGAAAGCAGCAAGTTCAGACCTGGACATTTATCTTAGAACACCTTCTAGAGGAAGTTTTTCCCCTTTTTTAAAATTGCGTTTCAACGTTTCTCCTGATCAATTTAATTTGGCTTCTTTGACGAGAATTTATCAAAAAGACTCAAAGACGTCAAAGTGAAAACAGATTTCTACAAAGAAAGGTCAATTAATTAAAAATAGAAAATGTAAAATAAGTACCTGCATCAGTATTCACTACCTGTAAGTCAGTATTTAGTAGATGCGTCTTTGATTATAGTTCCATCATTGATCCTGTTG